GCTACACGCCCGAACTGTGCACGCAAATCGAGGTGATGTAGAAAGAGATTTTTAAGGCCTCGGAATGCAGAATTAATTTCTAAAATAAGTGATGACTTTTTGGGTCATCACTCCATAAAAGTTTAGGCGATTCAAGGCCGGTCGCCTGAAATAATCAACTTGAGCGAAAGCACACAAAAAATCGAAAATCCTGTTGAGCCCCTTTTTGATAATCCTAAAACACCAAAAAATAAGGAATGAACATAGAGAAGCAATGACTATCATCCGTTAGGTTGTTTCTGATAGGCCCACAAAATTTTAGACGATTCGGGACCGGTTTCTCGAATTCATAAAGAAGGAGGGGACATTGTCACATGAAAAATCAAAAATTGTATTGAATTCTTGTTTTATGGACCTAGAATGCCAAAAACTGAGGAACGGTCATAGAAAAACATTTACTATGGTCCATTAGTTCGTTTTTTATGGGCTCACAAAATTTTAGGTGATTCAGGGTTGGTCGCCTGAACTCATGAAGATGGCATGCACTAGCACACGATAAATAAGAAATTGCGCTGAATTTTGGTTTTATAGCCCTAAAATGCAAAAAATGAGGAACAACCATGGAGAAGAAATGGCTATTATTCAATAAATTATTTCTGATGGGCTCACAATATTTTAGGCAATTCGAGGTCGGTCGTCTGAATTCATAAAGATGGTGTGGACATTAGCACATGAAAATTTAAAATCCGTTTATATGACCCTAAAATGTCAAAAAAGGGCAACGATCATTCAGAAGCAATTAATATGGTTTATTAAGTCGTTATATATTAGGCAATTCGGAACCTATCGCTTGAATTCATGAAGACGGCATGGATAATAGCACACCAAAAATTAGATATCTTTCTGAATTCTTGTTTTATGGCCCTAAAATGCTAAAAACAAGAAACACTCATGGCGAAGCAACGACTATTGTTGATTAGATCATTTCCGATGGGCCCAAAAAGTTTTAGGCGATCGGAGCCCGTAACCCGAATTCATGAAGATGGCGTGGACATTAGCACCTGAAAAATCGAAAATCATCCTGAATTCATCTTTTATGGCCTTAAATTACAAAAAAAGAGGAACAACCATGGCGAAGCAATGACTCTTGTTCATTAGGTAGCTTCTTATGGGCGTACAAAATTTTAGGTGATTCGGAGCCCGGCGCTTGAATTCATGAATATGGCATAGACGCTAGAATATGAAAAATCGAAAATCGTCCTGAATTCTTGTTTTATGGCCCTAAAACGCCAAAAACAAGGAACAACTATGGCGAAGCGATGATTATTGTTTATTAGGTCGTTTCTGATGGACCCACAAAGTTTTAGGAGATTCGGAGCCCGTCGGCCGAAGTCATGAAGATATCGTGGACATTAGCGTAAAAATTAAAATAATCATTAATTTTTATTTCATAACCCTAAAAAACACACACAAAACGAGGAACGAGCATGGCGAAGAAATGACTATTGTTCACTAGGTCATTTCTAGTGGGTCCACCAAATTTTAGGCGATTTGAAGTCCATCTTCTATCTTCTGAATTCATGAAGATGCTATGGACAAGTCATGGCTCTTCCTCCGATATTGATTAACCTTTATTGGTTATCAATATATCTTGATTGGATTTTTTAAAATAGCAGTATATGTCAGATCTTCTTAAAGTTTGTTAATATTTTTTTGGCAAAATACCTTAAACCAACCCTAAACTTGGCTCAGATTATTAGTATCCTCCCCAAACCATACCCGATCTTAATTACGCCCCTCAACTTGGCCTTTTGAGGGCCATTTTACACCCCTAGACGCTGATGTGGCAAAAATGTGGGTGCACTCGCCTGCCACGTGGATTTTTCTGTCTATGTGGCATTTCTTTGAAAAGTAAAATATATTTTTTAACTTTTTAAGAATATTACTTTTTTAGATAATTTTTTTTGAATAAAATTTATAATAAAACTTGGATATAACTAATTATTTAGGCTAAATATTTTTATTTGGCAAAAAGTAATAAAGTTTTAGTTAATCTTTTTTGAATTTGACCTGAAAATAAAGATTTATACAATTGAAATAAATAGTCAAGGCATCTAAAAAGTTATAAAAAATACATAGTTGAAATAAATAGTCATTGCATCAAAAGAAGAAATAAAAAGAGTGTACAATTGCACTTGTAATTTTTTGCAATTGTACACTCTTTTTATTTCTTCTTTTGATGCAATGGAGATTTATTTCAACTGTGTATTTTTACTTTTTTAGGTAAAATCTGTAAAAATAAATAAATTTAGAGCACCGTAATTTAGAGCTATATAAAAAAATTATCTCTCGGGCGTACGTTAGATGTGATAACCTGCGCCACTCGCCGGAAATGGGAGGAAGAAGGAGGCCTAGGAAGAACCAAAGCAAAATGCCAGTCATTGAACGCGGAACCAAAGAAATTATTACAAGGGACCAAGGAAAACAACATGCAAAAGGAAAAATGCAGGAGGATGAGGAAGATCTAGATAGTGATAGCGAGTTGAATTGGCCAGATCTGAGCTGCAATCGAGTAAAATCAGTTGGCCCAGTGAGTCCAGCCAGTCAAGGGGTACCTAAATTGCACACATCGCCGATCGTCATTGGTGGAGCGAGCACGAGCAAAGCAAATTCCAATATAACAGTAACTACCAGTCCTTTAATGGAGCAAAGCAATGGAACAGTACCAGTACGAGTTGAGGAAGAGAAGCATAAACAGATGGAAACAAACAATACTGGAAGGTCATGGGCAGGATTGCTTCATGAAAACAAACCTGCTGCAAAAGAGATGGATCTAACATATATACCACCGGTGGTGCAAGAGGGTGAAGTAGTAGTACAAAATTCTGGAAGAAGACATAGTTGAGGAGAAGCAAAAATGGAATCGAGCAATATATGTATGTAGTTGGA